TATTGACCCGTATAGGAGAGACACATTATTGAAAACCCACTAAAATCTCCACAAACATACTCGTTTATCAGATATAGATCAGAGATGGGGCTGATCCAATCCTATATCAGTATCGGGTCCGATATTGACGTTATTGACTTATCAGGTATCGGAATCCAGATCCACTTACTGATTCACTTACCGCAGTTTGCGCTGGACCATGATCCTGCCGTAAAGTAACATAACGTTATATGAGACACGTCACCGATCCAGATTCCATTCCAGATCTTACCATGAAACCGCAGCAACTTCAGTTTGAGTAAGCAAATAACACCAGCTGTTGGTTTGACTAAAATGTTGTCTGTTTGGAGATATTTTAGTCTGGAAATGCTGAAAAGCAAGACCGCTACTTGTAATGTGTGTAAGGCCAGCATGCCGAGGGGTGGAACCATGGCTACATCGGTCAATACAACCTGTTTAATCACCTGCAGAGGTTTTACGTGAACGAGTACCAGGAGTTCATCCTAACAGACACCTGGCAGCGACTCTCACTGATGCTCTCCAGAAACGTGATACACTTCCAGCAGACGACCCAAAGGCTAAAGGGATACCAGAGAAGTTGCTCGACTTCATTACACTCGATGACCAACCACCAACCGTGCATCGGAATCTGTATCGGTATCAGCAGTTGTGTATCGGAATCGGATCGGAACTGAAAAAATCGGCCTGTGGATCGGCCCATCACTAATAGAGATTCTGAAACGGAATGATAGAGATGTTCTGGTTTCAATTAGTGCTCTACTCAGACTGGAAGACACAAACCTACTTCATTTCCACTTTCCAGTCAAACGTTACATTTCAGTGGTTGAGAGAATCTGACAGCACAAAAACAGAGCTGTACTCCTGCTTTACGAGGAGAAAAACTGGCAGTCGAACCGTTTACACAGCTCCATCGCTTTATTCCCATTTCACAACTGCAGTTACTACAGCGTAGGTTTCCTTTCTATATAAAGCTCCGGTAGACCTTTATATCACCTTTACCTCCAAAGAACCAGGTGACACTGCGTTCCCCGTTTTTTCCTGTCCTTCCTTTTTCTTTTTTCCTGCCCTTTTAAAATCCCGATTTATGCGTCATTATGGATGAATTAAAAACTGAACTCTTGATCTTCTTACAGACAACGAAGAGACTAAACCACTGAACACACTGGTGCTGGCACTATCGCTTGTCTTTTGTCATCATGCACTGAATTAAGTCAAGTCAAAGTCTATTCATATAGAGCTTTTTACAACAGACGCTGTCACAAAGCAGCTTTACAGAAAATCCAGGCCTAAGCCACAATGAGCAAGCCAAAGGCGACAGTGGCATAAAACCCCCCTTAGAGGAAGAAGAGGAAGGCTGCGTCCAAAACCGCAAACTGACAGACTAAATAGAACGTAGTACACCACCAGTAGAAGTACATTCATTAGTGCAGTATGTGTAGTATATGTAATTTTGGACACAGCTGAAGGAACCTTGAAAAGAACCAAGACAAGATTGGATGTTTCTATATCTGTTTTTCTCTCTTTGTGTTAATTCAGCACAGAAATCCAGTTCAGACACTTCCTGAATCTGTAGAGTCGCCCTTTCCATTCCATCTGATCACGAGATCATACGAGACTCACATCCGGAGTTATGAGCCTATGAAGAGGGGCTGAGATACACGTCATCTGCCTCTCACCGTGTGGAACTGGTGGATTCGTGTGTCCGTCTACATTCTGTGTGAAACTGACAAATGGACACTCGGGAAATCACTAAGGACTGACCATCACGCTGGAAACCCTTCATTCTTCATTCAGTCCACATCGGAGACTCATGTGAAACGGCGTGCAGAGAGTTTACAGCTGCTAAAGTTGCTGCAGCAGTTTTGGAAAGTAGTGATAAGAATAACGGAGCATTTAGGTATGAAACATATGAGTATCATGAAAACTTACCTGTTTAGTCGAGCCTTTGGTTAATTTGTTTTCCTATGTCCCTCTTATCCCCCCTAATTAAGACTTTTCCCCCTGACCACCCCCTCCCAAAGGCAATAAAGGTAAGGGTTTGTCTGAATCCTAAAATAAAGGACATTGAAAGAGTACAAAGTTGCACAACCCCACAGTGGAGCCTAGCATTTCCTAACCGCTGACACTTCCTGAGGCTGAGCTCATTAAATACGTTCATTAATTGTAAAGAGGAAATTAAATGGGTTCTTTTTTATTTTACAATCAGTTTCTAATAGCCACACCCTTAAAAAAGATGGTTCTTCAAGGGTTCTTAGGAAAGACCTTGGTTCTATATTGGGCCATAAACACTCCAAAGACCATTTGCATGCTTAAATGGTTCTCTGCATGGTGAAATGGTTCTTTAGACTGATGGAGAATGTGTTGTATGTGGTTTAACATAGCACCAAAAAGGGTTCTTCTATTGTTATGATGTCGTGTTTGTTACAGTAGAAGAACCCTTTTCAAAAAGGTCCTATATAGAACCATATACAACACATTCTCCATCAATCTGAAGAACGCTTTCACAGTTCAAATGGTTCTTTGTTCATTGTTCTATGTAGAATCATTGTCTTTATTAAGGAACCCTTGGAAAAAAAAGCTCTTTTTTAAGGGTGTAGCTGACTAGAACCGGTTTAAAAAAAATGTTATTTATAATTCACACTGTGACAAAACCTTTTGTGCTACAAATGTCGCTGTGCTTCATTCAGTTATTTCCCAAAATTGCAGATGTTCTGATTAATTGATGGGATCATATCAGTTGCAGTGCCAAAGTATCCAGATGAGTTTTTCTTAATAACACCTGAAAATTACAATATATGCTTTCATTTATAATCCAATGTATTATACACTGATCAGGCATAACGTTATGACCACCTCCTTGTTTCTACCCTCATTGTCCATTTTATCAGCTCCACTTACTGTATAGGTGCACTTCTACAGTTCTACAGTTACAGACTGTAGTCCATCTGTTTCTCTGATACTTTGTTAGCCCCCTTTTACCCTGTTCTTCAGTGGTCAGGACCCCCATGGACCCTCACAGAGCAGGTACTATTTGGGCGGTGGGTCGTTCTCAGCACTGCAGTGACACTGACGTGGTGGTGGTGTGTTAGTGTGTGTTGTGCTGGTCTGAGTGGATCAGACACAGCAGTGCTGGTGGAGTTTTTAAACACCTCAGTGTCGCTGCTGGACTGAGAATAGTCCACCAAGCAAAAATATCCAGCCAACAGCGTCCTGTGGGCAGCGTCCAGTGACCACTGATGAAGGACTAGAGGACGACCAACACAAACTGTGCAGCGGCAGATGAGCTATCGTCTCTGACTTTACATCTACAAGGTGGACTGACATGGTAGGAGTGTCTAATAGAGTGGACAGTGAGTCATAATGTTATGCTTGATCGGTGTATACTCTTCTCACTTTATAAAACTGTATCATCTTCTGTTATAAGACTGACTTGTAAAAGGCCTGTGTCCTTCATTCTTATCGTATTTTTCCAGTCCATTTATGACATTTATGTGGTTTAGAAATCAAAAACAGTCATAATTTATTTTTACATGACTATTTTCCAACCTCTCTTTATCTCTTACAATGAAACAGGCTGCTTATGCTACTGCACCTTTAAGACTGATATATGTTAATGAGCTCTGTTCTGATTGGCTACCCTGTTCTGCTGCTGAAACACTCCTTATAACTTCAGTGTGAGTGGATGGGGCTAAACTGCCGTATATTGAAGAGGCTGATAGATGTAAATGTTTTGTCTTTCAGTTTACTTTCAGCAGTAGTTTGATTGATGTACTGATCTATTATTTCATTCATGTTGAAATGATGGACTTAAGGGAAAAAACCCGTCATTTTACAACCCCATTTGCTGCCATCCAGACGACGTCTTTTTCAGCGAAGGCCTTGATTATTTCAGCAAGACGATGCCAAACCACATTCTGCATGTATTACAGCAGCATGGCTCTGTACTAAAAGAGTCCAGGTGCTAAACTGACCTGCCTGCAGTCCAGACCGGTCACCACTGAAAACATTTGGTGCATTATGAAATGAAAAATACGACAAATGAGACTCTGAACTGTTGAGCAGCTGAAATCCTGTATCAAACAAGAACAGGAAAACGTTTCATTTTCAAATCTACAGCAGTGTCTCCTCAGTTCCCAAACGCTTACAGAGTGCTGTTAAAAGAAGAGGTGATGTAACACAGTGGTAAACAGGCCCCCGTCCCAACTTTTTTGGAACACGTTGTTGGCATCAAATTAAAAAATGGGCAAATATTTTTCAAAAAGCAGTACAATTTCTCATTTTCAACATTTGATTTGTTGTCTTTGTAGTATTTTCCTTTATAAATATGGTTTACATGATTTGCACATCATTGCATCCTATTTTTATTTACATTCTGCACAGCGTCCCAACTTTTTTGGAAATGGGGTTGTAATACAGTAACTTTTTAACCTCTTTTCCTTAGCAGAGCACCATCTCATTCTAAAGTTCCAGCAGAGAATGCAGGTTATTGGCCCTCAGAGTTGAGCTTTTCATCTAAAAATGCATGTAACTCCGCTTTGGAGGACACTCAGTGATTTGTCTATTGTTAATGCTGCATATTTCAGCCTAATGATCATTTTGAACCTTCACTTCACAGACAGCACTTTCTTCCTTAGTCTTTTTTCTGTAGAGGCCTTTGGCTCACTGCTCCTTCTCCCACTAAAGTCTTGTTTGGCCGAACAAGCAGAAGTCAAATAGCTCCAGATGTATTAACAACCTCGTCTAATTCATGTGAACATATTTCAGTAAATGTTTGTAATCCGAGCAGATTCGCCGCTCTTCCGAAAGAAATAAAGCCTCGCGCACAAATTTGCTGTAATCCCGATGTGTGTACACGCTCTCTGTAGAGGAGTGCTTGGCCTGCACCGCCGCAGCGCCTGTACTTCTTTTTTATCGCATGCAGTGACGCAGTTCGGTGGAATGCGGGTGCAAAACGGCGGACAGAAAGAGACCAGCAGGAGTTACAGAACACATTGCTGTCTTTATTAGAGCCTAGACCGGCAATAATACTGAAAAACGTCAACTCAGAACAGATGGTGGCAATCCACGGCTTGTTTGTTTTTTTTTTTTTTGCTTTTTTTTGCATGTTTGTTTGTTTTTTTGTCATTTTTTTGTTTTTCATAAGAGTACAGTAACTCCTGCTTTTTAATGTGGCATGAATAACATCAATAAAAGAGAGAAAAAAAAGAAATATACAACTTATATTACACTGTGTTATGAACAAAATATAAATCTATAACTCTATGTTATATTTACATAATTATCTTTCTCCATTTTCAAGTTGAGATGGTAAGAATAAGTATTTTTTCCTTTTATTACTTTGTTTTGAGCTCCACACATGACTCTGATTGTCTTATCTATTATTATTCAAGCCACCATCGACGCTTTATGATTGACAGCAGGACCCCCCGTCTATGAGCCGGCTAGCCCCGCCCTCTGCAATGAATGATTGAGTTGAGAAAGTGATTGAAATGGTCAATAAATGGTAGAACCTGACAGTGAAGATCACCGGAAATGTGATAAATGGCAGGATGGACGTTAAGGTGACTGTCCAGCAGGCCATGACTGTGAGGGTCAGTATGCTGGAACCCAGCTGAAGACTGAGAAAAGATCTGCCATGGTGTGGAGCTCAAACAAAGCCATCTTCTCCAGAAGTGGAGTCCCATAGAAGTTAAACATCTAATACGGCCACTCGGTGGAGGATCACTGGACAAAACTGCATATCCCAGAGTGCCTCTGAGCAAAATCTATCGGCTGATATCGATGCCATTTTACATGTGATACATCAGGTGCAGTGTTTATAAGTCTGGACGTGACGGTAGGACTACAAATGCCCAGTGATGATCCACCGAGGGCTCGAAAAAGGACTACAAATCCCAGTAAACATGAGCCAAGCTCCATTTTTTGTTCAATGACAATGGGGTATAATAGAACTGTTTTCTTTAACCTTGATAAAAGAAAGAGAAATAAAGAAATAGAAAACTTCACATTATACATAAACCATTACAAATAAAAAAAAAATGTTCTTCTTATATTCTTCTCTGACCGTCCAGAGTCCTAGTGCTTTAAGAAACAGGGTTTTTTTTTCAGAGTTCATGAACGATGCACAGAAGAGGAGGAAAAAAAGCTAGAAATGTCTCTTATTCCTTCATGTCAGCAGTTCCTTGCGATCCAGGATGGGATTAATACGATGCAAAACGAGAATGAAAAAAAGGAGCAAAATTAAAATACAGAGTAATTAGATCTAAATACCTACCAGCTAAATATAATGCTTTATAAAGCACATTTTTTCATAATGTAATAATTAAAAAAAAAAGGACAACCAAAAAATAAATTATACTGTACATAACTTACTAAACTTAGAAAAAAAAAAACATAAAAGAAAAACAAAAACAAAACGCTGACCATCCTTATAATTATTGTTAATAATATTATTATTACACTAGAGGCAGTTTGAATAAAAATAAAATACAGTATTCAAATACGAACGAAAACATTGACATGCAGAGTCTAAAAAACTGCCCCTCCTTCAATAACTTTGACAGCAGAGTGACGTCGTCATGGAGACAAAAACAAGAAAAAAAAAAGAAAGAAAACAGAAACAAAGAAAGCAGAAAAACAATGCGCCTTCCAGGCAGGGCTGGACATCAGCCCACCCTCGGCAGAGGACCTCCTGCTGGAGCGAGCGAGAGAGCTCGACCGTCTGGACGGACGTTCTGGACGCTGAGCGCCGTGGTCAGCGTTTGGCTTTGGGGACGGACTGAGAGTGCGGCGGTCAGTTTGGGTTTGAGATCCTTGCGTGGACGTAACGTGGACAGAAGGAGGATGAGTGGTGACGGTTCCCTGCACTGGGGCTGAGGAACCGTGCCAACAGCCCCTCAGAGCGGCGGAGGGAGGCGACTGATGGAAGGCGTCTGGAGAGATGAACAAGCAGAAGGACTGCTTTCTTTCACAGCTCCTACGTTCTAGATATTAAACTCCAAAGTACTTGGTAATTAATCTGGATATGAAGACAGTTTAACCAAATTACGCTGAAATGCCCAACAGGTTCAGGGTATTAGATGATTACATGTGTGGAACAACGTTAGAAGTGTTGTGTAATTAGTTTGGGGTGAAATGATGGTAGATGCCAAGACAGTCTAGCTAAATTACACTGAACAGGTTATTATTATTATTATTAATATTATTATTATTATTATTATTAATAATAATAATATGCTTTTGTTTATTATGTAGGGCCTTTCCAAAGCTCAGGGTCCCTTTTAGGGCATTAAAAACCAGACCAGCAAAGAAGACACCTATACAGAGCCCTGCTGGTGACATCTGGTATAAATAAAAATAATACGTGGCCATGACTTAGCAAGGTGTGGGAACGAGATAATTATGCATGGCCATGAATTAGTAAGGCGTGGGAACAATATCATGCTTTATTAAACTGTGTTCAAGGCTAAATTGTCTCATTCCCATGCATTACTATGTCGTGGTCATGACTTAATTATCTTGTTCCCACACCTTATTCAGTTGCATTATTTTTATTTATACTGGATGTCACCAGCAGGGCTCTGTACAACTATGAAATACAAAAACATCATAAATAAAACAAAAGAAAAGCTGAAAAAAGGGCAATATTTTATAATTAATTATGTGGAGTAAGAATTACATACAAACCTGTACTGAATTTCACTGTAATGTCATATATTTTAGCAGAAAAGGCAAATCAGAAAGACTTTTAAGAGCCAGTAGTTGCAAAAGTTTGAACACTCAAATCTTGATTTTCTAAGCAAGACTAAGATAAGTAAACAACTACATCCACAGAGAACTGAAATGTGGCACTTTCCTGCATATTTTAGTGCACAATTTCTATTTAACATATTCGAAAAAATAAAACATGAAGTCTAAAATGTGCCATAAGCCACGATTTGTGTTTTACGTCTCTCCCAAAAAGTTATATTCAGCAAAAAAACAGTAACTGTGGCCTAAAATGTCTAGAAGTGTGCCCACTGTAGAGGATGTATCACTTAGAAACTCAGCATATAAGCATATGATGTGACCAGGGGCGCCCAAACGTTTGCATACGACTGTATATGGGGTAAATAGGTGGTACAAAGACACCTGATGACATAAGAGTCCAACATACCTGTTTAGTACCTATAATCTAAACTGAGACTGGGCTGTGAGAGAAAGCAGTGAGGTCTTTTACTCTCCTGCTTAAATGTGTGACATTACAGTGAAATTGATCGTATTTTAGTACTTTCCATCTCATCAGTCCAAACAATTTTCCAATTATGAGATATGTTACTATGTCCTTGTCCAGGTTGATACAAAAAAGGGTCATTTCAGAGTAATTTAGACCCATTGTTTGGATACGTACCATCATTTTACTCATAAATACACAGCGCTTTGGAGTTTCCTCACACATACCCATTTAATACCTAGAACAGGCACTGTAGGGGAAAGATCGTGTGATGAAGTGCACTGACACCACAGACATATACACCAGTGTTCCTCAGCGCTTTGGGTGCTTCGGAGGTTCCCTCAGTAAACAGAGCGCTGAGGCCGTGGGGGGGGGATTGAGTAAAGCCTACAGAGCCCATCTATTCTCTCTGTTCAGCTGACCGTTCAGTGCCAGAGCCTCCTCTGGGGAGCCTCCCTCGCTCTCTGTTTCTCTTGGAATGGAGGAAAAGGGCTCTGCATTCTCGGTAATGGCGAAAACAGTCTGTTTAGGAAAGGAGAGAAGGACAGAGACGGAGGAGGAGGGACCGCATCGGGTCCGACAGGTTGAATCTCAATTTGTGTTCTCATAGGAACGAGCGGTTTGGATCCACTTTCCTTTTGCGGTGGTTCTCTTCATGTCCAGCACTGCGTCTTAATAAAACACAACAGCTCGGTCCAAAAGCACAGCGTACGGTTATGACAGCAAACAACCAGAAATGTGATTGATCACCGCACGCAGAGAACTTTCGCTCCAGTTCTGTCCTCGCGACAGCATATCGGCGCTCGTCTCACCTCGAGACACAGGAGGAGAAAGAAAGAAACTGCCGAGGGAGAGCAGAGCAGAAGGAGGGATTGTCTGTCGTCCAGTGCTGCGTCCTTTCGGTCAAAAAAAAGATGGACGTGTATGTGTAAGTGTATGCGTATGCGTGGAGTACACCGAAGAGGGAGCGGCAAATTAAAAAAAAAATATGAAAAAAAAAAACTTTTTTTTTGTAAATTTTGTCGTTACTCCTGTCAGGTGCTTTATCTCAAAACAGGAAAATAAATGCTTTTTTTTTCCTCTATTAAAACTGTAGCACAAAAACAACAAATCACATTCACAAGCCACTTGTTGGCACCGTGTACCTGAGTGAGAATATTATAGAACCCAGAAAAAAAACAAAAAACGAAACAAAAAAACGAACAAAAACGCAGTTTTAAAAGTGTCTCTTTTATAGACAAGCAGGTCCACCGCTGTAAAGTGTCTCCGACAGGCCGACTAACTGGTCCTTGTTTCAGTATAAGTGTCGTTTATCTCCTTCCTGTAGCTTAACGGAGGCGTGACGTGAGTTTGCCACAGCGGGTTTATTCAGCAGACGTTGTGGCAACGTGTCTCGCTTTCTTTCCAAGACCCTCCGTTAGTGTAACAGTCTCTCAGATCCTGTGCTTTGCTGCTGCTGGTATTGGGGTGGGGGGTGGGGCTTAGCTCTGCGAGAGTCCTGATTGGGTGGTGTAAGGGTGAGGTTGGGGGGCGGGGGGGGAGCAGGAGTGGAGGGTCGGGTGATCGGCGGGACGTCTCTGTGCTCAGAGCGCTCTTATTGGGTTCTCGCTGTCGCTGCCGAAGTCTCCGTCCTCGTCCTCGTAGTCGAAGTCGTCGTAGGCGTCGCCGTTGCTCTCGTCCATCCGCAGCTCCTCCTCTTTGATGCGAGGCTCCTCCTCCTTGCTGACGCTGAGGTAAGAGGGCTGGCCGCTGAGCGGAGGGGCCGGCTCGGGGCTGCTGGACATGCTGGAGTGCTCCGAGGGCATCTGGGGCGACGGCATTCCGGCCATGGAGAGAGCGCCCGGGTACACCACGCCCGCTGAGGACAGAGGCAGCTGGGCCTGCTGCCTGTAACATGCAAACACAGGGACTGTTAGTACACGGAATAATACATCTGCTCACCGTTCGTCCTGCAAGATTAGCCAGCTCAATCATAATCTCCTCTTTTTAACAATTGCAAATGAGAAAATATTACTATTGATTAGCTTAGTCGGTTACACTGAGCTTTACACTGTAAAGAATTCTGTAAAAAAAACGGTAAAACACTTTTAATTAGCAGTAAAATCTGTAAAATTACAGTCATATAATTTCCTCCTATACTGCCTTTTACTGTAATTCAACAGTTTCACTAGACTCTTCTGCTTCAAGGGTTCTTAAGTAAAGAAAGAAAACGGTTCTATATAGAACCATGAACACTAAAAGAACCCTTTGCATGATTAACGATGAAATGGTTCTTCAGATTAATGTAGAACGTGCTGTAGATGGTTCCATATAGCACCTTTTTGAAAAATGTTCTAAATAGCACCAAAAAGGGTCTTGCTATTGTTACAAGCTTGACACTGTAAGAATAGAAGAACCCTTTTGGGTGCTGTATAGAACCATTTTCCTTACTAAAGAATCCCATCTTTTTAAGAGTGTAGTTCAGCTAGTTATTCTGAGGCTGGATTTTTCCATAATAATAACAGTAACAACCATTAAAATAAATGCAAATTTACATTCTGCTTCTGTAAATGGGCAAAAGCAGAATGTGTGTGGTTTATTTACATGCATTAAACTTTTTTTTTTAAATAAGTGCTTCGACAGTGAAAATCCCTTTTTTACAGTGCTGAAGTCATAATTATTACTAGCGATAACAAATGCATGGTGTAACGATATTAATTACTTTTTACTTGCAGCTCTTCAAACTGTCGAGTAAACTTTTTCATCCACACCACATTCGTGTTTATAAGCATAAGAGGAAAAATATTTTGTCATGATTCGAATTTGGTGAAAAGTTCAGGTCAGAAGTGCAGAGAGTGTAAATTACATTAAATGAAATGAATTACATTTAAATAATATCTGGAAATGACATTAATAAATTAAAACTTTGAAATGATTAAGGGAAAGACCCAGCTTGATAAAGTCCACCCTGTCTTGGTCTCTTTTTTGTTGATCGAGGCAAAAAAGCAATAGAATGAATTAAATATATGTACATATATTTATACATATGTATTACACATATATTACACTTATTATTACACAATGTAATTACATTTGCTTAATATAGAGCAGTTACATGGTTCGAAATATGGAAATAATATCTCTTATGGCATGTAGGTACAGTGACTGACAACAGATTTAAATTCCATATTTTTTAGTCACATTCCAAGACAAAACTGGTTGAGATTAGACACTTTTAAAGTTTTAAGTTTAAAGTCCATCTGTTTCTCTGATACTTTGTTAGCCCTCTTTTACCCTGTTCTTCAGTGGTCAGGACCCCCATGGACCCTCACAGAGCAGGTACTATTTGGGTGGTGAATCATTCTCAGCACTGCAGTAACACTGACGTGGTGGTGGTGTGTTAGTGTGCGTTGCGCTGGTCTGAGTGGATCAGACACAGCAGTGCTGCTGGAGTTTTTAAACACCTCAGTGTCGCTGCTGGACTGAGAATAGTCCACCAACCAAAAATATCCAGACAACAGTGTCCTGTGGGCAGCGTCCTGTGACCACTGATGAAGGACTAGAGGATGACCAACACAAACTGTGCAGCAGCAGATGAGCTATCGTCTCTGACTTTACATCTACAAGGTGGGCTGACAAGGTAGGAGTGTCTAATAGAGTGGACAGTGAGTGGACATAGTGTTTAAAAAGTCCAGCAGCACTGCTGTGTCTGATCCACTCAGACCAGCACAACACACACTAACACACCACCACCACGTCAGTGTTACTGCAGTGCTGAGAATGATCCACCACCCAAATGACCCTGCTCTGTGTTCATTGTTGGAGGATGTGTCAACAAGTAATTTGGGAATGGGCGGCAAAACCTTCGCACACGACTGCACATGGTTCCATACGCTGCAATAACAGCACTGTAAAGTGTGGCCCAATATACAGTGTTGTTATGGGGTATTGTTTGGATGTGATTGGAAAGGGTCGCTGTCTCACCCCACGGTGAAGTACTGGCGCATCTCCTGCCGGCGGCTGCGCATGATGGCCTTGTACTCGCCGATGCGCAGCTTCTTGCCGTCCACCAGGCAGGTGCGCTTGGGCCGCGGTTTGTACTTGTAGTCGGGGTATTTCTCCAGGTGCTGCTTACTGAGGCGCGCCTGCTCTTCATAATACGGCTGCTTCTCCAGGTTAGTCATGGCTTTCCAGCGCGAACCTGGAGACAGAAGAGGGCGTCAGAGAGCAGATATACACAAACGCACACATGAACGCTTAAATACACGTCGTGCTTATAAATCTGAAATATTAGAAATCGACTAGAGTTAAGATCATTTCACTTGACAAGCTACAGTATTTTTGCAGTGAGTTGGTTTGATCTGCCTTAAAATCTGAGTTAATTGCACTTCAAATAGTAAATCGACAGAACAAGAATCTGTGTTTATGTCCAGTCAACTGGTCATTTGAAGTTTAAATAAATAAACAAAAAATTTAAGGCTGCCTGAACAGTTAAACCTCTTTAAAGCTTGCATCTTTTCCTTGTTGTCTCTTGGCTCTGCAACTTAAAGCACTCCTCTCTGCGCTTCTCACAGTAGCCATGAAATTCAATTTCCGCATGTTTTTTCCACTTGTTTCACGAAGTTGAGATGCTTGCAGTTGTTGGGACTGAGTTTCAAATGAGTTGCAGGACTCCATACATTGTGCAATGTAGTTTCATGTAGGTTTTAAGCAACTAGTTGCATGACGGTTTCACCAAGAGCCTCAGTTTTGATGCTGTGAATAGCTTTCAGAATGTTCATCTGGGCCAGAAGCATCGCATTGCATGTGCAACATAATTTCAACTTAACAGTCGCCCGAAGCAAATCGACTGTCTCATGAAACTTGTTTCACAAAGTTGAGACCCTTGCAGCTGAGTTTCAAACGAGTTGCAGGACTCCATGCATCGTGCAATGTAGTTTCATGTAGGTTTCAAGCAACTAGTTGCATGAAAATTCAGCACGAGTTTCAGTTTTGATGCTGTGAATAACTTTTTTAATGTTTATTTGGGCCAGAAGGGTGTCGTGCTTCCTTTTTGTCTAATGTTACTTCTCCTAAGGACAAGATCATCGTTAAGACTCATCAAAGAGCAACATTTGAGCAAAGAAGTTCACCAGTTAGCACCGCGCTAACTGTGTCCAATCACTCTAACAGACTGGTTTCAGACACTGTGTGCCATTTTCTACAGAAATGCACAGAAGTACAGAGAAGAGCTGCGACTGTTTCTGCTGTCTATATGTCCAAATCTGATTTTCAGCTCTAAAGGAGATGCAAGACAGGACTAACGTTTAAACGAGGGGTGCCACCTACACGCCCCCCACCTTCAGAACCCACATTAGCGCCATTTTCTTAAACAATGCCACGGCCAGCCTGTTAGAGGGCCGAACTGGTGGAGCCCTCTCTCCGCACAAAGTGGCCTTTTGTTTGGTCTAATGAGTACCTTTGAGTGGAAATGATGTCAAACAGAGCAGCGGAGAGCGCGCTCTCTGCCCTGGTGCACCAGCGCAGCCGCACGCACGCCTGCACTCGCGTCCGCACTCACGCCTGCACTCGCGCCCGCTCCGTGACGTGCGTCATTATTCCAGGTGACAGCAGGTTAAGTGGGCCATTCACACACTCCATCTAATTATCAGAGCTCAATAAGAGTACCTGTGGCCTCTGCTCCTTATTCCTCATTAGCGGAGCCCTGCGAACACGCAGGCGCGCGCTTATCCCTCAGCGTGTGCGAGATCGTGGTGAATTTACACTCTCCTACTGTATGTTTAATGGGAAAAAGCTGTCACCGCCGAGCCCGACACGCACCCGGCCGCTGGAAAGGGGAAACTCCTTCTGTTAACAATTGAGCGAGCGGGAGCCTTATTAAAACCAGATTTGCCGGCGTTATAAAATGCTTAGGAGCTCTTTAAAATGTCAAACACAATCCCAGAGGTCTGGAGGAAATGTCAGACAGACTGGAGTGCTTGTTTAATGCATAATGAATTATATCATCATTGTTGGAGTCGGCTCTCCAGAGCGATTCATTAGGCAGTGGTTACACAATGCGGCGCGGCTGTGTATGTGCGCGCGCGGAGGGCGCAGAAGTCGCTGCCGGCTGTTACTACACTGGATTTTCCCTAGAGGGGGAGGAGCAAACGCATAGCCCCTCCCCTTTACACATACCCACACGTGCTGCTTTCCATTCCACAGGGCAATGCACTGTAAAACAATGGTTTCAACTCAAACACTGCAAAAATGGTAACTTGTCAAGTAAAATGATCTTAAATATAAAGTCAATGAATCTAATATTTCTCCTGTTGAGATTGTTGTAAGATTTGCTCACTTATTTCTAGACATTTTTACTCATTTCAAGTAATTTTATTAAGTAATTTGTCTCACTATATGTGCCTGAAACCAGGAAAATTATCTGCCAGCATGGGAATATAATTTTACTTAACAAAATCGTCTAAAATAAGTAATTAAAGTCTAGAAATAAGCTAGATAATCTCATAATAAGTTTTTTGCAGTGAGTTGGTTTGATCTCCCTTAAAATTTGAGTTAATTGCACTTCAAATAGTAAATCAACAGAACAAGAATCTGTGTTTATGTCCAGTCAACTGGTCATTTGAAGTTTAAATAAATAAAAAAATTGTAAGGCTGCCCGAACGCTAACTTTTTAAAGTTAAACCCCACAGTTTTACAGTGTACCTTTATTGCCGTTCCCTTTAAACCTCTTTAAAGCGCTTATTACCCTTGTTGTCTCTTGGCTCTGCAACTGAAAGCACTGCTCTACGCTCCTCACAGTAGCCATGAAATTCAATTTCCGATGTTTTTCATTGTGCATTTTTTTCTTTAGATGGAATTGATAGAAATTAATATGAAGCAAACTTTGTTTTCGTCTTTAAAGGTAAGCGAGCAGGTCAACATGAAGTGTTGTTATTGTGTTCAAATGCTGCTTGTTTGCTGCGTCTGTTGACGTGAAGAAGCTGCAGTTGTCCGTTTTGTCTCAGCACAGCCGTCTTTGTGGAGAGGTGTGAACTGTTTTTCAAAAAAGGGTTCTTTAGTAAAGAAATGGTTCTACATAGAATCACAAACACTCAACGAACCCTTTCCATGTCTAAAGGGTTCTTTGAATCATGAAACCGTTCTTCAGACTGATGGAAAATGTGTCTTATATGGTTCTATACAGAACCTTTTTGGAAAGCGTTGTTTATAGCATCAGGAAAGCCCTTTTTGATGCTTTATAGAACTTTTCGAAAAGCACATTGTCCGTCAATCTGTAGAACCCTTTCACGATGCAAAGAACATTTTAGTCATGCAAAGGGTTCGTTGAGTATTTATGGTTCAATATTGAGCCATTTTCTTTACTAAAGAACCCTTCTAGAACCATCTTTTTAAGTGTGTAGTTCATCAGATAACAGAGTTATGGGGAGAAACGTTTTATTTGATCAGATCAATTCAAAATGGTTAAGTTTTACATTGGAAACATTTTATATTCTGCTTTTTCCCCCAGTATTTAAATTCAGCAAATAAACAGTAATTGTGTGTAAAATAGGGGGCAACTGTATCCTTTGTAGAGGTTGTGTTTACTTGTTTTAGTGTATAAAATCTAAAAAACGTAATTTGACCAGGGGTGCCCAAACTTTTGCACATGCCTGTACACCAATCAAGCATACCATTATGACCACCTCCTTGTTTCTACGCTCATTGTCCATTTTATCAGCTCCACTTACTATATAGGTGCACTTTGTAGTTCTACAGTTACAGACTGTAGTCCATCTGTTTCTCTGATACTTTGTTAGCCCCCTTTTACCCTGTTCTTCAGTGGTCAGGACCTCCATGGACCCTCACAGAGCAGGTACTATTTGGGTGGTGGATCATTCTCAGCACTGCAGTAACACTGACGTGGTGGTGGTGTGTTAGTGTGTGTTGCGCTGGTCTGAGTGGATCAGACACAGCAGTGCTGCTGGAGTTTTTAAACAGATCAGTGTCACTGCTGGACTGAGAATAGTCCACCAACCAAAAATATCCAGACAACAGCGTCCTGTGGGCAGCGTCCTGTGACCACTGACGAAGGACTAGAGGATGACCAACACAAACTGTGCAGCAGCAGATGAGCTATCGTCTCTGACTTTCCATCTACAGGGTGGGCCAACAACGCAGGTGCGTCTAATAGAGTGGACAGTGAGTGGACACAGTGTTTAAAAACTGCAGCAGCACTGCTGTGTCTGATCCACTCGCACCAGCACAACACACTAACACACAACCACGTCAGTGTCACTGCAGTGCTGAGAATGATCCACCACCCAAATAGTACCTGCTCTGTGAGGGTCCATGGGGGTCCTGACCACTGAAGAACAGGGTAAAAGGGGGCTAACAAAGTATGCAGAGAGACAGATGGACTACAGTCTGTAACTGTAGAACTACAAAGTGCACCTATATAGTAAGTGGAGCTGATAAAATGGACAATGAGTGTAGAAACAAGGAGGTGGTCAGAATGTTATGCCTGATCGGTTTATATTACATTAAAACAATTCTTTCAGTTTTCTTACTCTTTGCAATGCTTGTGTTAATGTAATGATGTAAACTGTAGTCATGTGGAAATGTTGCACACATCTGAGTCAAGTAGCGCTCATTCAGCCCGACGAGCATAAAAACCCGCATTACTCTCGTTTTGCTCTCTTTCCTCCTCCCGATCCCTCTCTTTCTCCTCCTGCCTGCTCCCTCTTGGCTCTTACCGAGGATTTTGCTGATGTTGGAGTTGTGCATGTCAGGGAAAGCCTGCAGGATCTTCCTCCGCTCGTCCTTCGCCCACACCATGAAAGCGTTCATGGGCCGCTTGATGTGTGGCTCGCCGTTGCCGCGACCCCGCGCCTCGCGGAACATCCTGGAGTCTGACACGCTGGGGCTGCCTGCGGGGGGGTGAGTTAGCGTGAGAACAGTCATACACACACACTGCATGTAAACACAGTGACAGACAGCTAATCCTGCTAGAAATAACAGCACTGTGCAAAAGTCAGAGAGCGGCCTCATTTATTTACTTTCCTGTCAAGACATTCATTTTTCAGGAGATGTTATTAAAGGATTATATATATAAAATAACCAACTTTTTCTTGGAAGAAAAAGTCAAGGTGAAGAAAAAGCGAAAATGGGGCTCCTAACAACCACCTGGAAGAGCTGGTCGACACCAAAACTGCCCCCATCTGATAAACAGCACTTAAAGCTTTCATCTCTGAGAGAGAGGAGAAAATCAAGCTCTTGAATCAGATCTGGAAAAATGTACATGTAAACATGCTCCAGTGTATAAATGTAAAACTTTGATGTTTTAAAATAAAATTAAAGTCACTTCGTGCTTTTTAGAGCAACTTTAACACTGAACACAAGCTGATCACTCCCAGACTGGCAACTCTGCCTCATCTAAACCCTTTTTCAGCAAACTTTGTGTGGACACTGAAGTGACTAGTGTGCGGTAGTGATCCTAGCACAATGGTAAATGAACATTTATGTCAATTATATGATATATATGTAAATTATATTAAACTATAATTATAGATAGTTTCATTTTACACTGATAGGAATTTATAAACTCAACTGGCAGCAGAAAAATAAAAGTAATTTTCAGTCAAAACAGCCATTAAATACAAGTTATTAATTTTTTAGGAGATATTTCTGAGGAGATTAGATATAAGATGATTAAAAGCTACAGAGAAAATGGGGCTCCTAACAACCACCTGGAAGAGCTGGTAGACACCAAAACTGCCCCCATCAGATAAACAGCACTTAAAGCTTTCATCTCTGAGAGAGAGGAGAAAATCAAGCTGATCAGATCTGAAAACATCCACAGGTGTTTCTGTCCATCCTTCCACTGTGAGAAGACGACTCAGCGCTGGGGGTCTGAAAGGATGTGTAGCTGATCAAGAAGAACCTCACTGAGAAAAGGAGACGGACACATCAAACAAAGAAGCTGAACGATGGACTGACCACCCCAGAGTCCAGGCCTCAACACCACTGAATGTGTTTGATTACTTCAGAAAATGATCAACCAGCTTCTAAGACTGAACTTTGGAGGTGTGTCTGCAGATTCTTTGAGGGACTGAAAGTGAGTCTCCTGAAAAGAATGGAAGCTGGAATAAAGGGAAAGAGAGACTCACTGAACACTGAACAGCTGAGATTAGATTTAGCTGTTGAAGCTTCTGTGTATCTCTGACTTTTGCACAGTGCTGCACACTGTATTATACTGTACCTTTACAGAAATGAATAGTTCCAGTTCTAAAATCCCAATAAGCCTCATTCAAAGCCACTTCATATTCACAAACATGACCACACATCAGTGTAATTGTGTATAAATGTAGCAAGTTAACTGTAAATGAACTACATTGTTTAATAATTGCAATTCCTTTGAATAATAATTTAAATTCATTACTGAACGTTGGTGTAATTGATCATATTGCATGTTGCCTAAGAGGCTTAATGCTTTAATATTGCACTCTGTGAATGAACAAAACTAATACTGCAGTTAACATAACGAGCGCTTTACCGTCGGAGTCGCCGCTCATGCCGAAGTCCATCATGGCGTGAGTGAACTTGCTCTCCTCGGACTGTTTCAGCTGCTGACTCAGGCTCTCCAGAGCTGCCTTATCCTGCAGACAGAGGAACCATCCAGTCAGCTTCTCTATTAATCCCACTCATTTTTTAAAAACATGACATAATTCAGTCAGTATCCTTACAGAAAAGTCACATATACTTCACATGTGAAGTGTTTACAAGTAATAATAATAATAAATTTTATTTATAGAGCACTTTTCATACACAAAAGAGCTCAAAGTGCTAAGCAATCGGGCTGTAAAATTAAGTAATGAAAGCAAAAGCACAACAAAAGCAGAAAAAAATAAAATGACAAGCAAATAAAACAAATTACAACAGTATTTTAAATGAAGACTCGGTTAAAAACATGCGTTTTCATATGTTTCTTAAACATGTCTGCTGAACTTGGCTGTTTAATTATAAGAGGTAATGAGTTCAACAGTTTAGAAGCACAAACACAAAACCTTTTTTCACATTTGAACACATTTTTAACATGTGAAGTGTGCAAAAACCACATGTACACTGCCAAAAATAGTATCTTGTCAAGTAACATGACCTTAAATCTAGTTGATATATCCAGTATTTCCCAATTCTTAATTTAAGATTATTGAACTTATTTCCAAACAATTTTTTACCTGTTTTAAGTTATTTTATTAAGTAAAATGATTTCACCATACTGGCAGATAATTGTGCTTGTTTTAAGAAATGAGATTGAAACCAGCCAAATTATCTGTCAGTATAGTGAAATCAATTTACTCAATAAAATTACTTAAAACAGGTAAAAAATGTGTGGAAATAAGCGAAATAATCATATAACTAATGCAAAATGGGACATATTATATATATCGACTAGAATTCATATAATTTCACTTGACAAGATACTATTTTTTGCGATGTATTTACTCACGTGGAATTTATATTACTTTTTTCTATGGTTAAGATGTAAACGGAGTCGTTCAGAGTGGTTTGGTGTGAAACGCTCTGTTCTAGAGAAACTTACTGAGTCAGAACTGTTCACAGTGGTGGTGATAGGAACCAGACGTCCACCTCTAAAAGCTCCCTCACAGAAAGTTACTACATGAAATGGTTATGAATTCACTGCCTGATGACTGAGACACTGTTTTACAGTAGTTTTGAGCAGATCTTGGTCTAGAATGTGTTTATACAGGAGACTCGTGTAGGTTCACTGGTGGTTTTAGACAGTAAATAAAATGTCTATATTTGTGTTGTAGTCATGGCGACCCCTGGTTCCTATCACCACCACTGTAAAGAAACCTGAACCATTTCACACCAAACCACTCTTTGTTTAACGACTTAACAACTGAATTATGGAGGAATTTTGGAAAGTTGGTGGAATTCCCCTTTAGGCTTTTAACAAAGCACGGCTGTTTTAAACAACTACAATGTAATCAGAACCCCGAAAGCCGTCAGCTGGAGGAGAACTGAGTTTAAAACCAGAAGCTCAAACTTTTGCGAAAAAATTAGGTAGGAGTGATAAGCATGCCTTCACTCTCTCTCTCTCCCTCACTCTCTCTCTCTCTCGGCCCCGAGGTCGATGCATTAGAGAGAACGAGAGCGCTCTAGAGACGAGAGCGAGTGGGACCGCACGGCCTCCTGGGTATTTATTACACCCAATAAAAGGCAGATTAACTCTGCATCTACATGCCTAATGTAGCTGGGGCACGCGTTTCAGCGCGACACCCCCGCCTTTCTCCAAACACATCCTCTCACAAACACACGCAACCTCAAGCTGCATCTGGGGCTTAATTAGTCGATTAGACTCCATCCTAAACGCGTGCCATCTTTAAAACACACACCCGGAGAGGGTGCTCGCCATTAGAGAGTGACCCAGGCGAGCCGCGGCGCTGTAATGAAACGCATTACACCGTTCCACAGCCATACAGATTTAATTATTCATTCTGGGTTAGTGAGTGGGGTTTAAATGAATGCGCGATGGAGAGACGATTTGTCCCTGGAGAGCGGTAGAGAGAGCCAGAGCTAGTGAGAGAGAGAGAGAGAGAGAGAGAGAGAGAGAGAGAGAGAGCAACAACATTGAGGTTAGAAAATGGTGTTTAAACTGAATACGTCTCAGTGTGTCGCCTCGTGTTTGGTGTGGTTGGAGTGGACGTTCCTCGTTCCTACTAGACTCATTTCTCTTCTAGAGTCTTTCTCTTTGTCTCTATGAGCTGAGACCTGTTTATCTAACAGCGTCTAACGCTGACGATGGCTGTAGAAGATAAATAATCAGGTGGATCTGATGTGCACTGCAGATTCTTCTGCTGTTCCTTTGCTAATTCATGACAGTTTTGTGCTCTAAAGACAATAAATTCACAATCGTAAGGAATTAATTTCTCCCACTGTTGTCTGACGCTATTACTGCTAAGGAGGTTTAAAAGAGTATTAACATTAAATCGCAAAAGTTTTTTACTGTCAAAGTACTGTGAAATTTATGGTCAAAACCCATTTTTTATTTTTTTTTTAGGTTTAATGCATGTAAATAAGCCATTGTATTTAACACTGCTGTTGTCCATTTACACAAAACACCTTTATTTCACATCTGCATTTATTTTAATGGATGTTCCTGTTATTTTTACGGTAAAATACTGTATGTCAGTTGTTGAACTAGTGAATTACAGTAAAAGTCCGTATTTCTAAGAAACTAGATGACTGTAATTTTACAGATTTTTACAGCACTGTGCAAAAGTCAGAGAGCGACCTTCATTTACTTACTTTCCAGTCAAAACATTAATTTTTCAGGAGATGTTATTAAAATATTAGATATAAAATAACCAACTTTAAATAAATAGGAACAAATAAGTGAAGGTGGAGAAAATGAGGCTCCTAACAGGGTAAAATTACGGTAAAATTCTGTATGTCAGTAGTTGAACTAGTAAATTACAGCAAAAGTCTGTATTTCTAAGAAACAAGATGACTTCAATTTTACAGATTTTTACCATCATTGAGAAAACATACATTTACTGTTAATAACTTTTTTTTACCATTTTTTTAACAGAAGCATCAAAGATCAACATTTGTGCGATACAGTTTTCTGCTGGGTTCCAATCAAACGCTTGGAATCACTGTTAAAAAACTTCAGAATCGACGTTTTCAGTAGTAAAAAAATTATTTAGTTGCGGATAAATGTATAAAATGTATTATTATGTGTTCAGAGTGATTTCATTAATATATAGAATTGTGTTCAGAGTGATTTGAGAATCAAAATGACTGAAAAAGTTGCATAACGTCAAGAATAATATTGCAGTATAGTATTTATAGCTTATAATAACTTAAAAGTCCTAGAAATTTTTTTATAAAACATCTATAAATACCCAAAAATACATTAAATTCATATCAATGTTTAGTAATGTTAATAACAAGTGACTCCATATTTTTGAACAGTAGTGTATAAGCTAAATTTATAAGCACTTATTGGGTCATAAGCTGTGTATTAAAGGGCCAGTATCCTACATTTTTATTCCATTTATAATTATATATAATTGTATTATTATCATTTAATTATAATTTATATTTCTGTGGTTTTATGTATCAAACAGCCCTGGCAATTCATTTTTACAGCCCTTTAGAAATAAACAGACTGTTTTCCTTTTGTTCTGTTTCAGTTTTGTTACTGTGGCTTTAAGACTGACGTATGGAAATGAGCTCTATTCTGATTGGTTGCCTTGCATTGTGCCTATTGTTTTAAAAGCACTCAGAGCTGAAACGCTGTTTGAAACTTCAGCGTCGAAGGCCGAGGCTGAAGTGCTGAGGACTGAACTGAATGGTCAGTTTGAAACTTTAATGATGTTTACATAACACATCAGACTGCCTTATTTCAAAAAAGCTGTGGTCAGTGAAAAGTTATGGTCAGAGTAAAGCTGTGGTCAATGTAGAGCTGTGGTCATGATAGAGACGTGGTCAGTGTACAGATGTAGTCAGGGTAGAGATGTTATCAGTGTAAAGCTGTGCTCAGATAATGCTGTGGTCAGTGTATAGCTGTGGTCAGTGTAAAGCTGTGGTCAGATAAAGTCGTGGTCAGTGTACAGATGTAGTCAGGGTAGAGATGTGGTCAGTGTAAAGCTGTGGTCAGATAAAGCTGTGGTCAGTGTAAAGATGTAGTCAGATAAAGCTGTGGTCAATGTACAGATAGTCAGTGTAGATCTGCTGACAAGATATGATCTGTGATAAGGCTGTGATCAGTGTAGAGCTGTGGTCAGTGTTGATCTGTGGTCAGTGTAAAGCTGTGGTCAGATAAAGCTGTGGTCAGTTTAGAGCTGTGGGCAAGATAAGCCTGTGATCAGTGTAGAGCTGCGGTCAGATAAAGCTGTGGTCAGATAAAGCTGTGGTCAGTGTACAGATGTAGTCAGGGTAGAGATGTTGTCAGTGTAAAGCTGTGGTCAGATAAAGCTGTGGTCAGTGTAAAAATGTGGTCAGTGTAAAGCTGTGGTCGGTGTACAGATGTAGTCAGGGTAGAGATGTTGTCAGTGTAAAACTGTGGTCAGATAAAGCTGTGGTCAGTGTAAAGCTGTGGTCAATGTACAAATGTAGTCAGGGTAGAGATGCTGTCAATGTAAAGCTGTGGTCAGGGTAAAGCTGAGATCAGTGAAGAACTGTGGTCAGTTCAGGGCTGTGGTCAGGGTAGAGCTGTGGTCTGTGTAGAGCTGTGGTCAGTTTAGAGCTGTGGTCAGTGCAGAGCTGATCCACAGAGAGGCCATCACTCCTAAAGCACCTTCATTAAGCCGACAGCAATCAGCACAATCACTACACAGCGGAGAACCAAGAGTGAGAGCATGTGTTTACAGCAGGCGTTCAATTAAAGGGGAACCCATATGAATGTATACACACTGTGCTTCTGTCTGTCTGTCCATTGTTTTCAATTTGTCTGTCCGGTCTGTCGGTCCCATCTGCCATGTCTGTCTGCTGTCTCTTGTTAGTGGACATCAAAGAAAACAATAAAACACAGGATAATTGTAGGATATGGGCCCTTTAATCCACTCTGAGAGTCATGTCTCTGGAGTCTTTACACTGCAGATAACGACATCTTAGCAAGTGAAAACATCTGAAACAGTCAATATATCTAATATTTCTCATCATAAGACTGTTATAAGAATGTTATAAGATTATTTTACATATTTCTAGACATTTATTACTTGTTTTAAGTAATGTTATCTTATGAAAGCGTCTTATTTCATTGGCCAATCTTTCAGTTTGGAGAAACAATGAAGATAATTTTGCTTATTTCAATAAATAACGCTTAAAACATGTAAAATGATCTGCCAATGGAATAAGACACTTTCATAAGATAAAGTCACTTAAAACAAGTAATAAATGTCTAGAAATAAGTGAAATAATCTTAGAATATCTATAATAATAAATATAGTATATATAGATATATTAACTACTTATTGTTGCTGTCGGAAACAAAACCTCGTATCTCCAAAATGGTAACTTTACAGGAGAAGGAAAAAACCTACTTTACTTTTAATGTAAGTCAATGGAACCAGACGTCTTTCCAGGTCATTTTGGGCTGTTTCTTTTGGTCCATTCATCATGAAATTTATAAACAATGTAAAGGGAAACAGGCATTTTCAAATTATGTCAAAAACTGAAAAATGACAAAAATGGAGATATATTATACAGAGATATATTATATATTAATCCTTAATATTTAGATATATTAACTACATTTACATTAACAAGATGTTTTTACTTCACTAGTGTAGGTGTGCAGAATCATGGGGTCAGTTAGGTGTGTGTAATTCTCTTGTTTATGAACACACGCTGCTTGTTCAAATGTGTGTGTGTGTGTTGCACGCCGTGTTTGCTCAGCTGTACGGTGAAGGCACTCGCCACACCGCGCCTGCTTGCCGTGCGGACCAGCTGAGTGTGTTTAACAAACACGCCCAATTTAGTGGGGCAGCAGAGGTGGGGCGGGGGTGGGGGGGTTGCCGTAGTCACTTAGCATTACCATCATCGCTGCCTGTTAGCATGAGGCTGCTGTTCAGCGAGGCTGGCCTGCTCTGAGCCTGTCAATATAGCTAGAATTTAGCATGTTATTTAGTGCCTCGCAAGCCCAAATGACACGTTTTTAGTGTTTTGTCAAGCACTGTGTTAATAAACAAGCCACTTTCCATACATTCAACTCAGATTCACTCCTATTTAGCTTCTCTGATGTTGTTTTGCCGTCCGCATTATCATTCAGTCTGGCTCCATCTGCACCACACTGCAAAAAATGATCTCTTAGCAAGTGAAAACATCTTAAATGTAGTTAATATATCTAAAGCTTCTCATTATGAGACTGTAGTATGAATATTATAAGACTTTTCCAGCTGTTTCTATACATTTATTCTTTGTTTTAAGTCATTTTCTCTAGTAAAAGTGTCTTATTCCATTAGCACATCAAGCCAGAAATGTCTAGAAGTAAATGAAATAATCGTATAATATTCTAACAACAGTTTCATAATGAGATATATTAGACATATTGACTACATTTAAGATTTTTCACTTGCTAAGACATCATTTTTGCAGTGTAAAAGATAATAAAAGAACCTCCTACACTGGAATAAAATGATGTTTTGGCAAATGAAATCATCTTAAATCTTGGCAACATTCTCTGTTTCTCATTTGGCGAGCGTTTAAAGAATAAGAAGAATTATTTAACTGGTTTCTGGGCATTTTTACCTGTTTTAAGTCATTTTATCTGGTGAAATTGTGCTATAAATCTATTTGCATTATATTTGCATATGAAGCAAAATGATCTGCATTGTCTGAAAACAAGCGAAACTGCCTGCCAGAAGAATGAAACAATTTCTGCAGATAAAATAACTTGAATCTACAATCTAAAAATGATAAATACTACTTATATTTACAATATTTATGGTGTTTTCACTTGCGGAGATATCATTTATTCAGGGCATCTTCAAGTTTCGCACCTTTTTTAAACAAGCTGAAAGAAAAAGTGGTCATTTTTTTTTAAAAGTTGAGAAGTCGTGAAGCAAAGCTGGCGTTGCTACAGCTCAAACCAGGCCAACCTTCCAACCAACCTTCTCAGAGCGTCCGTTGTTGAGGGTCAGGCTGTTGACTGCTGCCACTTTGGCGTCCAGAACCTGCTGCTCCCTCTTGAGCTGCTCCTTCATCTGCCGGGCCTCCTGGAAGGCCTTGGTCACAGCCTCGTGGTCATTCAGATAGCCTCCTGAGGTGATGGACGACAACAGGTCTGGAAGAGCAACAGGTAAAAGAGAAAGACGTCAGACTGTCTCAAGTCTTGAGAATGCGGAGCTGACCCCTCTCGTCCTGGACATCACCTCTGCTCCCTCTGGTAGAAGATTCAGGCCCATCAGAACCAGCACAGCCAGACACGCTAACAGCTTTTCCCCCAGAGCTGCAGCTCATTAACCACAGTGGACACTTCGCACTTTAAACCAAAACTGAACCACTAAACCTCCTCACTGTATTACAGTAACTCCTCTGTAACATAAAGCTTATTTACACAGCTGTACAGATGTTTACAAATGTTCAGATCATTCTGTAATTTTCTGTACATGATCATTTTTACAGTATATGTCTATTCAGACCTGCATATCACTGTTGTCAGAACAAAACCTCGGATCTCCAAAATGGTAACTTTACAGGAGAAGGAAAAAACATGCTCTACTTTTAATGTAAGTCAATGGAACCAGACTTTTTTACAAGCAATACTGGGCCGTTTGCTTTTATTCATTCATGATGAAATTTACACACAATGTAAAGGGCAACAGGTATTTTCAAAATATGTCAAAAACTAAAAATCGACAAAAATGGAAATATAAGGGTTTTGCTCCGACAGCAGCCACTTCTTAAAACAAGTACAACGATCTGCCAATGGAATGAGACACTTTCAGAATTTAAAATTACTTAAAACAGGTAAAAATGTCAAGAAATCAGTTTAATAATCTTACAATATTCTTTCAACAGTCAATAATAATGATAAATATTAGATATATTAACTATGTTTAAGTTTAGATGTTTTCACTTGCTGTGTTTCCTTATTACCTGCCTTATTACCCCACTTATCTGACTGTTACCTCACTTACCTGCCTTATTACCCCACTTATCTGACTGTTACCTCACTTACCTGCCTTATTACCCCACTTATCTGACTGTTACCTCACTTACCTGCCTTATTACCCCACTTATCTGACTGTTACCTCACTTACCTGCCTTATACCCCACTTATCTGACTGTTACCTCACTTACCTGCCTTATACCCCACTTATCTGACTGTTTCCTCACTTACCTGCCTTATTACCCCACTTATCTGACTGTTACCTCACTTACCTGCCTTATACCCCACTTATCTGACTGTTACCTCATTCACCTGCCTTATTACCCCACTTATCTGACTGTTACCTCACTTACCTGCCTTATTACCCCACTTATCTGACTGTTACCTCACTTACCTGCCTTATACCCCACTTATCTGACTGTTACCTCACTTACCTGCCTTATTACCCCACTTATCTGACTGTTACCTCACTTACCTGCCTTATACCCCACTTATCTGACTGTTACCTCACTTACCTGCCTTATTACCCCACTTATCTGACTGTTACCTCACTTACCTGCCTTATACCCCACTTATCTTACTGTTACCTCACTTACCTGCCTTATACCCCACTTAACTGACTGTTACCTCACTCACCTGCCTTATTACCCCACTTATCTGACTGTTACCTCACTTACCTGCCTTATACCCCACTTAACTGACTGTTACCTCACTCACCTGCCTTATTACCCCACTTATCTGACTGTTACCTCACTTACCTGCCTTATTACCCCACTTATCTGACTGTTACCTCACTTACCTGCCTTATACCCCAATTATCTGACTGTTTCCTCACTTACCTGCCTTATTACCCCACTTATCTGAGTGTTACCTCACTTACCTGCCTTATACCCCACTTATCTGACTGTTACCTCACTTACCTGCCTTATACCCCACTTATCTGACTGTTACCTCACTCACCTGCCTTATACCCCACTTATCTGACTGTTACCTCACTTACCTGCCTTATTACCCCACTTATCTGACTGTTACCTCACTTACCTGCCTTATACCCCACTTATCTGACTGTTACCTCACTTACCTGCCTTATACCCCACTTATCTGACTGTTACCTCACTTACCTGCCTTATTACCCCACTTATCTGACTGTTACCTCACTTACCTGCCTTATTACCCCACTTATCTGACTGTTACCTCACTTACCTGCCTTATTACCCCACTTATCTGACTGTTACCTCACTGATCCCTTTCTCTGCCACTATACACCCTTTAACTGCTGCTGCACTCAGCACTTTAACTTTAGACCCATACTTTGCACAGTGTAAGGTTTACAGGTATGACTGTGTGTGTGTGTTTGAGTGAGTGATGGTAGGAATGCATGTTTTATTTCATCTTTATTTTATTTTTTTGTATTTTATTTTATATTTATTTTATTTTATTTTATTCACTACATGTAAATGTCTGATACTGTGCTCTGAGCTCCTGTAACCAAAACCAAATTCCTTGTACATGTAAACAAACCTGGCCAATAAAGCTGGATTCTGATTCTGATTCTTTTGCAGTGTGAATATTTCAAATGTTTCGAAGTGTAAACAGAAATCATTTTAAACTCTTTTGAGCAACCTTTTGGTGCCCATGTGGTAGATCCAGCCACGCTGCTAAGCTTGGTAGCTTGCTAGAGACTGAGCAAGCCAGCGTCCTGGCTCGTGTGGACGACTGATACATTCTAAAGGCCTGTATTTTGGTCTCATTATAACCTTCTGTGCAAAAGCAAACAGCATTTCATGTAATTCACAGCCACAGATATGCGCAATATGGCTCATTCACTTCCATAACAACATCGAAACGCCCATAAAAAGCGCAAATGGATGCGCAGCGTTAGCGTCTGTTTTACCAAGTCTGATTTGAACTGCTAAAAAAATACTCGCAGTAACGATGAGGAACAGTTGCTCACTGCATTTCTCAATTTACACCTGTATGCAAACGTGGAGCAGGTGTTAATTTTGTTTGCATCCACAGAAGGAATCTATAGACGCAACAAACCGAATGTGCAAATGTAGGAAAACGGCTCTGGGGAAAAATATTGTCTATACGAACGATTTGCAACCAAACGCACTGGGATTACATTCCATCCATGTTGCGTTCAGTGCACAAATGCAGAGTTTTGTTTTTTAGACTTAAACTGAGGGACACCAGGTGAGGCCACCCAGCACTAACGCACTGCAGAGCCTTTGGGCTGGACACATTAGCATACTGTGCGCTGCAGGCAGAATGCATTAACACACACACACTGACCACTTGACTGTCAGCTCTGTGAGTCAGAGTTGGCTGAGTTTGTGGTTGGAAACAACACGGGTGATGAAAGAAACTGAAAGACGGTGAGGATGAGAGCCAAACAAGAGTCAAAACAGAGCGACTGCATAACATGCACTGCAAAAAATGGCATCTTGTCAAGTGAAAGGATCTTAAATCAAGTTGATATGTATAACGTTTCTCCTGTTGAGATTGTTGTGAGCTTCATTTAAGATTATTTCCCTCATTTCTAGACATTTTTTACTTGTTTCAAGCATTTTTACTAAGTAAAATTATCTCACTATAGTGGCAGATAGTTTAGCTTGTTTTAAGAAATGAGCTTGAAACCTGCAACATTATCCTCCAGTATAGTGAGATCATTTTACTTGACAGAAAACAAGTAAATAATATCTAGAAATGAGGAAAATGATCTTATAAGTGCACAACCATCTCAAAATGGGAAATATTCGATATATTGAGTGGATTTAAGACCATTTCTCTTGACAAGACACCATATTTGCAGTGTGCAGGCCTGTTTCTCCAATCTGTCTAGATGTTTGTTTCTAAGAAAAACACCTTCAAATTTTCGGGAGGGTATTTAAACTTAAGGCTCTTCGTACTGGCACATCACATTTACAGCTCGAGAGCAAGGCATCTCTCAAACAAGTCTTTTTGGCACCTTTATTTTAAGAATGCAGCCCCTCTCATTGTCCTCCTTTTGCAGCGCGATGTGCTAAAATAGTGCTAAGAAAGCTGGCTGGGCATCAGCGGTTAAGTTGCATAATGTGCCCACACATAATATGATCATCAGCGAGAGGGTGAAAAGGAAATCTGCTACTTATTTACAACTGTAAATGTCATCACATCCCTGCGGCGAACACACACGGGACCGTGGAAGTGGCGGTTAAACAGGCGCCGCGCGACGCCGCGCTACACTTGGACAAATCTGCGCCCTCACATTTGGAGATTCCATTAAAAGCTCCCCTTCCCCTCCATTTGCTTTAACACTTCTCATGGAAAAGGGATTCAAAGGTTTTTAAAGCTCACAAATACATGTGCATCTCTCTCAATCTGGGTTTATCACCGGAAAGCACATGGAGTTCTTTGAAGGGAGAGAGAGAAAAAGCGGAGATTATGCCTTATTAAGGCCGAAAGACTGCTAATTTGCTCGTCCCGGAACATCTGCCCTGATGCATATCAAAGATGCTTCTCGCGGCCTTTTTCACGGCTATTATTTGTATTATTTCCTGCGGCTTAGCGTCCGTATGTCTGTGGAGGGACTATCCGACTCTCCATCTCGCCGGGTTAGATCTAACAAAGACCCGCGTTTGATAATGGCTCTTTATCTGACTTAATCCGCGCTCTAATGCCGAGCTGGCTGGATTAAGTGCTCCCATTTGAAATGGCAGAGGAGTGAACTCCTCTAAAAAGTCATATGTGCTGAAAAGCTGCTAAAGTAGAGGTTGAATGGCAGGCGCCTGGTGTGTGGAGGGCTACCTGACAGTTTGGGTGTAAAAACACACAAATAAACACAAATTATTGTGGTTTTTGTACGACCTGATACATTTTTTGGTACTGAAGTAAACAGCGTCAAGCTTTTTGTAATAGGAAAAGTGGAATTGTTTCACAACCTCTGGGCGGTTTGGCCAAAATTGTATATCACTGTAAAATTTACATTTCTGACAGTTTTACACTGCAAAAAATAGCATCTTGTCAGGTAAAATGATCTTAAATCTAGTCTAATCTAATATTTCTCCTGTTGTAAGCTTAAGACAATTTCATTTCTTTCCAAACATTTTTACCTGTTTTAAGTAAATTTATAAAGTAGAATTATCTCACTATACTGGCTTTCAGACTAACTTGTTTTCAGAAATGTCCTTGAAACAAGCTAAATTATCTGCCAGCATAGTGACATTAATTACTTAATAAACTTACTTAAAACAGGTAAAAATGTCTAGAAATAAGCTAAATAATCTTATAATAAGTGCACAACCATCTCACAACAGGAAATATTAGATATATCGACTGAGATTAAGACAATTTCACTTGACAAGATACTATTTTTGCAGTGTAGTGTGTATCCTGGTGTATATTGCTCTAAAATTCTTCATTTTTAATAAGAACCATTTTTAACAAGCAAAATAAATCTGGGTTTTTTTGTGCAAAACAGTACAATACATATATAAACTTATGCTCATAATGCATTGACCAGCCCTGCCTGCCCAGCAAAAATGGTGCTAAATGTTGGTTCACGTCTGAATTTCTACAAGGCTGAAGTTCGCTTCTTTACGGGCAGCTTTCTTTTCAAACCTTAAATGGAGCCGCAGCTGCTTCCTGATACCTGTGCAGGAGCCTGAATGTCACTTCCACATCATTTAAGGTGGAGCTGGAATTTTGAATAGGAAGGCAGTTTCAGCCTTGCTGAATTTCTCAAGCCATTTGTCTCATGTGTGCCCTGTATACTCACCACTCCGACCGCCAGACACTGCTGGAAAATATTGCAGTTATAGTAATAGTAACAGTACCAGCTGGTTGATGCTTTGTTTTGCGCACAAGGTCCAGAGACTGTGGCCTTGTCTGATGCAGTATGTGAGAAAACGAGAGAAAATTTGCCTTGGTGTCCATGTTAGGCCGTTACTTCACTGAGAAAAATGATATATTAGCAAGTGAAACCGTCTTAAATGTAGTCGACATATCTAATATTTCTCATTATGAGACTGTTGTAAGAATATTGTACGATTATTTCACTTATTTCTGTACATTTTCACTTGTTTTGAGTAATTCTATCTAGTGAAAATGTCTTATTCCACCAGCAGATCATTTTACTTGTTTGAAGCATCATTTCTTGGACAAGAAATCAAGATTATTTTCGTTATTTCTTAAAACAAGTCAAATGGAATAAGATACATTCACTAGATAAAACAGGTGGAAAAATCTGATAATATTCTTACAACAGTCTCATAATGAGAAATATTAGATATATCAACTACATTTAGGAAGTTTTCACTTACTAAGATACCATTTTTTGCAGTATTTATATCCTTTGCCTTAAAAAAACAATGTGGACTACTTCAGTTGCAATGGACCAGACAGCGGGAGGCGATTGAGGGTCGGCTGCTTTTTTAGTTTCATCTGAAACGTGACCGAAACATCCAAGGCTTAGCCACTCAGTTAAAGAGGCCGATATTAGGAGGTCCACACTGTACGTTGCATCATCTGTGCATATTTGTGGCAAACCTGTATATCAGCTGCTACTCCTCACAACCCACATAGTGACCGTCTAATCCGGACACGAAGTGACTGCAGTCTACGTAGGGACGACTGACAGGAACATTCGGAGACAGAGAGAAGAGAGCAAATGTGACCCATATAACTAGGAGAGTGAGATCAGCCCAGCAACCTGAGCCCACATTCAATTCCCAGGCTTCGCTATTGCGCCGAATGGGCTCACGTCTCATAATGTTGACCTGAAGTCTATGTAGGGCATCTCCTCTGCAGGCCTCTGTCCTATACCCACTGCAGACCGAGGAACGGAGTGGGACCACGGGGTGATGGGTACAGAGGACACAGCTGCTGACAGGCTTCTCAGCTGCGGTTTCCGTGGTGACAGTGACATGGCAGGAAAAGGATCGAGGTTGGCATGAGGAGCTGGGAACTCTGGGGGAGAGTCCCAGGACGGACGTCTCTCAGCTGGGTCACCCAGAGGAGAGATGGAGCGGGGGGCCGGAGAGGAACGTTTCAGGGACGACAGACACACATATGCGGGGATGCGTGTGGATGTGCGCATGAAAAACATTCCGCTTTCCGAATCTTCCTCTTCCTGACCTCCCAAAGATGCGCAGCAGATGGAAAAATCGCAGGGCAGAAGGCCCACTCTAATTGTGAGCTAAACCACCGGCTTGCCTCAACATGTTCCAGAGGATTCCGGCGAAAAAACTTTACCCTCTAATCCATTTTTCAGAACAAAAAACATCTGGGCCACAAATCCACTAATCTGCTATTAAATCCTGGGATTTGTTGAAAAACACAGCGATTACAGGGAAAGAAGTCTGAAATGGTGAAGAGTGGAGTAGGGAGGGGAGGGAGGGGGGGAAGATATTGTGTTATTGTGGCATTAATGCAGGTTGTTTGTGCCGTGCGTGGTAACAGAGTTGTATAAGAGGCTTGTCTAATCTCATAGCCAGTACAGGATGCCTGTCATGAAAGCTCCTTGTGTGTCTCTATTCAGCTTCCTGAAATACAACAGAATAAATGCTACGCTCTCTCTTCTCCCTATCTCTCTCTCTCTCTCTCTCTCTCTCTCATTCCCTTTCTGCTTCACATGGCTACCTAACAAGCTTCCCCCTCTCACATTTAAACTCTAATAAACATTTGACAATATGCCCTTCAGGCAAAATTAAACCCTACAGACCTAAAAATGTAACATCAATTACAGACTCTTAAGTGCCTGTGGCAGGAGGGAAAAGCTATGCTCACAGAACACGAATGCTTCCCATTCACGTGATGAAGAGAATGAGCAGCTGAAGGAAATGGTTTGGTGCAACAGGAAGGTTCGTTTAGCGACAAGTGGAGGTGGAGTTACCAGTTTATCTGACAGACTTACTATACAGGTACAATTACTGACTATATGCACAATCATACGGTCAGTAATTGTACGCCTATATACACCGATCAGGCATAACATTATGACCACCTCCTTGTTTCTATGCTCATTGTCCATTTTATCAGCTCCACTTTCTGTATAGGTGCACTTTGTAGTTCTACAGTTACAGACTGTAGTCCATCTGTTTCTCTGATAATTTGTTAGCCCCCTTTTACCCTGTTCTTCAGTGGTCAGGACCCCCATGGACCCTCACAGAGCAGGTGCTGTTTGGGTGGTGGATCATTCTCAGCACTGCAGTGACACTGACGTGGTGGTGGTGTGTTAGTGTGTGTTGCGCTGGTCTGAGTGGATCAGACACAGCAGTGCTGCTGGAGTTTTTAAACACCTCAGTGTCGCTGCTGGACTGAGAATAGTCCACCAACCTAAAATATCCAGCCAACAGCGTCCTGTGGGCAGCATCCTGTGACCGCTGATGAAGGACTAGAGGATGACCAACACAAACTGTGCAGCAGCAGATGAGCTATCGTCTCTGACTTTACATCTACAATGTGGACTGATAAGGTAGGAGTGTCTAATAGAGTGGACAGTGAGTGGACACAGTGTTTAAAAACTCCAGCAGCACTGCTGTGTCTGATCCACTCGTACCAGCGCAACACACACTAACACACCACCACGACATCAGTGTTACTGCAGTGCTGAGAATGACTCACCACCCAAATAGTACCTGCTCTGTGAGGGTCCATGGGGGTCCTGACCACTGAAGAACAGGGTAAAAGGGGGCTAACAAAGTATCAGAGAAACAGATGGACTACAGTCTGTAACTGTAGAACTACAAAGTGCACCTATATAGAAAGTGGAGCTGATAAAATGGATAATGAGCGTAGAAACAAGGAGGTGGTCATAATGTTATGCCTGGTCAGTGTAAAGCACCAACATAGTAGGTGTACCTGATAAAACTGCCATCATCAAGTGCCTAATAATCTGGCAACTCAGGCTGTATTAAGTTTATAAAGCATAAAAAAGGTATAAATACCTATGGAGCTGATTCTGGGTGCAGGTCCTCCGATGCTGGAGGGGGCGCTGTGCTTCAGAGATCCGGGGCCCAGCTTCATGGCAGGGACCTGTGGGGAAGCGGGGGAGGTGGGTGACTTGCTCTCGGATGTCTTAGGCTTGGCTGACAGATTCAGGGGCTGAGCGCCCTCGTCCTGCAAAGGCAAAACAGCAACACGTTTGGCCTGGCGTGATCTTTTTTTCCGCACTGTTCTCTCTCCTCGGCGACTCGGGACCCAATCACGACGGCCAGCCGGAGTCAAACCAACCAACTACAGGCCAAAGGAAATTAAAACGGGGCGCCCGTTGGTCACATGCGGCCATGGATCAAGGAAAGGAAGGCAGAGGGACGGACGGGGGCGCATGTTCGCAAGCTTGTCAGATTCAGAACGTTCTGTGCATTGCTGTTTCCATGCAAGGTATCCATGCTCTCTTAGTCATAAGGGCAATGCCATGCAAGAGCACACATGTAATAGAACATGCTTCTATTCAAACACAAACACTGTACATACACCAGGGTTCCCAACCGCGTTCCTGGAGTACCCTGCGTAAGGTCCTGCAGGGGTATTCCAGAAATGGGTTTGGAAACCGTTGACATACACCACAACTGTGCCTCTCGAAAGAAACCTCAAGCACCATATGTGCATTCACTTAAAACCCCCATAATGCACTACAAGAACACAATTTGAGTGCATCCAATATTCCAGAGTAAAGTGCTCTACGGGATGCTGGAGGGCTGTTAATCAGGAAAATCGAATGATAACTTCAGGTGCTAAATGGCAATCGTCTCCGCAAGACTCACGGACTGGAGCATATTGCGGCAGTTGCGTGATCATGCAGCCATGTGGACGTCTACCCACACGGGTGTGTGTGATCAAATTAATCACTGCTTCGCAATCGCCCCTGCCGCTGCCCTAATCACATCACAGGAGACCCCCACCTGACAAGGAGGGCCAATTAGATCGTGGAGCGGCAGATGCAGCCCCACCCTGCCCGGATCAAGACAACGCAATTAAAATGAGGATTCGGCCCGGCTGCCAGGAGGAGCCGGCTGGAGTGGGCAAAGCCTTCTTAATCTTCCACAATGTTTAAATACCTAACAACCTGTGTAATCTGGGGCCCCAACTGGAGCTGCGGCAGAAGATGCTCTGGAAATGCGGGGTGTGTGAAGAGACCACCCGTTGCGATGATTGGATGAGCTCGTGTTGGCGTGGATCAAAGCTGTCGATCATCGTTATTCTGGCAGGGGCGGGTTCAGGTCAAGAGAGCGCCGTATAATCTCCGCTGCATGCATGTTAACCTGGAGCGCGCAACATCTGCTCCAACACCTGGCTCTGGAGTTTCGACCACGCCTTCTGTCCCTAATGGCAACTGCGTAGCCACGTATCACTCGTAGCAGTGAGCTCCATTACTGAGGCCTGTGGTTCTTGTTCAAGTGCGGTTCTTCATGGCTCTTGACTCTTGAAATGGCTCTCTAAAGGTGGAGCGTTGGAGAATTTCTCCACCATAACCACCTGGTGCTTCCTAAACAGTGCAACCTGCTGGGACCAGACGCAGAACCTAAGCTTCCTAATGGTCTCCAATGCCTGGTGTCACTTTCTCTCTCCTGTTTTCCCGACTGCTCTAAGGCTCTCCGAGGTCCGCTAGGCACTGAGACCTTCACAGCAGAGCTGGATCTGAGAGGCTGGGGAGCTAGATTAAGACCTTCCCCTCGCCTCTTGTTCTGTGATGGGCCCTAACAGGATTGTCCTCATTAGTACGGCACTGAATGGTGGGGGAAACCAGAGGGATCGTCTCCTCCCATTGCGGCAGAAGCACAATAGCCCTACATGAATGAGGAAGACTAAGAAGGACTTGCGTAGAATACTGTATCGTGACCCTTATTGTGTCAGGCTTGCCACCGAATCGCTGAGGTAGAACTGAATATTTATTACAGATAATGCCTCACTCCCTCGCTCCCTCCCTGCCGCCGGAATTGTTCTTCGGTGAGGCAAATCCTTGGGTGGGACGTTAGCCAACTTGAATAAGCCACTAAGGGGAGAATTGGGAGAGACTGGCTAAGCTGCACGCTTGGCTAGGCTAGGTTCAGCCTGCGCCACACACGTTTTCTCAACATGGCTCTCCTGTTAGGGAGGAGACCAAGATCTAAAAAGCTTTCTAAAGCCATAATTACTTTGTTAAGCACACTAAAACAAGGGTTATTAACTACTAGGCCTATGCCAGACAGCATAGACTATCTAAGCCTAACTTGGTAACTAAAGGAACCATGCTAGCACTGCTAAGCAGAGGGCTACTACTCTACTGCAATGATATGTAGCAGGTGAATGTCATATTTTCCCCTGCCGGAGTGCTGACACATGTAAGTGACATCATTTGCCCTGCTTCTTATCACCCTGGCTGACGTTTCAATTACTGAGACAAGTGTGCGTGCCTGGCTATTTGTCCTAATCGTGCCTGTCTAGAGGAGTGGCCTGTCACATACTCACACACACACAATTCCCTCATCTGGTTCCTTTCGCTGTCTGCCAAGTAGCTCTGTGGTCAGCTTGCAGTCTTAACAGAACAGATTTACACCCACAGACTGAACATATACATCCTATGGCCCACACACCCACTCACGGCTGGGGCCTGTAGCAAAGTCTGGGTGCACAGATATACAACCAGCAGGGAAAAGGCAAGCAGGACCACCTTAGGAAAGTCTCTAGTCAGGTACAGCGCAAAATTCAGGTTTAATTTCCACTCAAATCAGCCATTAAGTACAAGTAATTCATTTTTCATTTTCATATCTAATAGAAAGTTATACAAAAGCCATAACAACTAAATATAATAGCAATTCGTTCAGTATTTAGTGCTACTTCGCCTTCCATTCTTCGCCTTTTTCTTTTCAACTTGCTTTCAGTGTTTTCAAATAAATCTGCCCGGATATTCTTCCACATATCCAAAGTTCAGGTTTAGGAGATTTGCATTTGCTGCTTCTCCTCCAAGTAACCCCAAACACATCCAGTGATGCTGAGATCTGGACTCTCGCTCAAAGATGAAAGCTTTAAGTACTGTTTATCTGATGGGGCAGTTTTGGTGTCTACCAGCTCTTCCAGGTGGTTGTTAGGACCCCCATTTTCTCTGTAGCTTTTAAACATTTTTACACTACTCAGAAATATCTTCTGAAAAAATGAGTTACTTGTACTTAATTGCTTAATTAAGTAAAATTAAATTAAGGTCTCTGACTTTTGCACAGTGCGTCATGTATGATACTGGGATGGTAAATGACTGAAGTGCTACCAAATCGTCACTGTATACTCACAAAGGTTAAAGGTTCCTAAGTGGTTCTAGGCTTGGACGTACACAGTTCTACACCTAGATTGTGCTTCAAGGGTTCTTTAGTAAAGAAAATAGTTCTATATAGAACCATGGACGCTCAAAGAACCCTTTGCATGATTAAAGGGTCATTTGCATCATGAAAGCGTTCTTTAGATTAAAGGAAAAGTGTAGGAATGTGCTATACGGTTCTACAGGGAATATTTTTGCAAAGGGTTCTATATAACACCCAAAAGGGCTTGATACCGTAACAATAGTAGAACGCTTTTGGGTGCTATATGGAACCACTTTCATAAATGTTCTATTTAGAATTATCTACAGCACATTCTCCATCAATCTCAAGAACGCCTTCATGATGCAAAGAACCTTAAAATCATGCAAAGGGTTCTCTGAGCATCCAGAACCGTTTTCTTTAGTAAAGAACTCTTGAAGCACCATCTTTTTTAAGAGTGTAGGAAAAAACCTTTAATTGGTATAGAGCCTTTACATGGTGTGGAGGTCTTTTAACCTTCGAACGGGTTCCTCACACTAGCTTCTCCTTTACAAAGTGGTTCTTCAGGGAACTAGGGAAAGTTCTTGAGGGAATCAAAAGTTGCATCACTCCAGAGAATCTCTATTTTTAAGAATGTAGCGTGAGTAATTTAAAAGTGTCAGTGTAGCGAAAGCCCCCGCGAATGTGTGTGTGGGTCACAGTGCAGGCGGTGATGGAGGTATGTGTGTGTGTGTGTGTGTGTGTGAATGCGAGTGTGGACACACCTGAGCTGTGGGTCGCCCCCCTCAGGGTAAAGCACTTAAGCTGGTGCGTGCCTCAGTCCAAACAGCTGTCTGACACATAGCAGACTGCTCCAAATGAGAGGAAGGAGTGGAGAAACAGAGCGACGGAGAGGAAGAAAGAGGGAGAAGGTAGAGAGCTCCCTGGGACACAGCGGCCCTGAAATATACATGCTGCCCTCCCGTTCCCCCAGGGGCAGCCCGGGAACACATTCCGGATCGCAGAGGGAGCGCGAGCGGGCGGTGGGGCGAGGTTAGAAAGAAGGAGAGAGAGAGATAAAGCAAATGCTGATGGAGGTGACGGCTCGGGCTGGAGAGTAACTCTATTTAGGGGTCTGTGGCTCTGAACCGGCACTAATCATCATCATGTCCATCACCAACATCACCATCATCACCACCACCATCATCATCATCATCATCATCATCAGTGGCAGCACTTCAGCTGCCCGGTCCTTCACTCTCACCCTCTCCTCTCCAGCCACTCCATATAAATGCTAATAGGGCAGGAAGAGGCCCCTGTCTCTGAAGAGGGGCTGCATTCATTACCCAGCAGCCCCTCACAGGATGACTGGCGGGGGGGCCACGGCCAATCGATGACCACGATCTGAGGTCAGGGGCCAGGTGCCCCCAGCTGTCTCCCCAGAAACCGAGATAACATCTACAGCTCGTAGTGGGGAGAGAGAGAGAGAGAGAGAGAGAGAGAGAGAGAGAGAGAAAGAGAGAGAGAGAGAGAGAGAGAGAGAGAGACATTGAGATATATAGAGAAAAAAGAAAGGCAAGAGAAAGAGAGAAAAGAAAGAGATAGAAAAAGGGAATAGGGATAGTGATAGATAGATGGATGAGAGAAAAAGATGGAGAGAGATATAGAGAGAGAAAACAAGGGAAGATAGAAAGAGAAAAATAAAGAGAAAAGAGATAGAAAGAGAGACAGAGTGAGAAAGGGTTAAAGGGAGAGACAGAAAAGACAGAAAGAGAAATATACATAAAGACAGAGAGAGAGGAAAAAGAAGAGATAGAAAAGACAGAACAAGTGAAAGAGAAGAAGGGAGCAAGGACAGAGAGATTGAAGGAGATAAAGGAAGAGCGGGAGAGAGATGAAAGGAAAGAGAGATAACAAAATAAAGAGAAAGAGAGGGAGAGAGAAAATGAGAGAAAGAGAAAGAATTAAGAGAAAGACAATGAAAAGAGATAGATAAAGAGGGACAGAGTGCGAGAGCAAGAGAGCGAGAGAGAGTGTTAGTGAGTGGAGGAGAGAGAGAGCGAGAGAAAGAGAGAGAGAGAGAGGTGGAGGTGGAGGGATAGAGAAAACAAAGGAAAAAGAAAGAGAGAGGGAGAAAGAGAAATGCAGAAAGAGTGAGAGGCATGGAGGTAGAGGTTTGAAAGAAGAAGAGAGAGCGACAGAGAAAGAAACTGAAAGAGAGAGAGAGACAGAGAAAAAGAGAGAGAGAGAGGCTGAGAGAGAGACATTTGCATGTACAGGGTCACGCTTCTTCTAACAGACATATGGTCCGGAGCCAGGCCTCGTCCTCCGCGTGTCCAAACAGACGTCAGTCTCTGTCCAGCGCGGCTCAACACAGCCCCGATCTGGGCCCCGACAGCGGCTCGGCGGAAGAGGACCAGAGGGCGGCGGGGCTAAACACATGTTTATTCAGCAGCGGGCTCCCCGCGGCCCGTGCCATTGTGCAGCGGGCAGGACGAAATGGGCTTGGCCGGGGTGTCCGGCCTGCAGGCTGACCGGCTCGCTGCAGGAGGCGAGAGCGGCCAGGCCGGTGGCTTTTATCCCTGCTGCGCCTGATATTCATGGAGCTTCTGCTTCTGCTCCGCTACACACAACCCCCGAACGCTTCCCTTTGGCTCAAACGTCCACGCCGGCTGCCTACCTGCTCTCAGGTAGGCGTAGCCATAGCAACAAGGTCGACGACCCCACTGACTCCATTTGCCCGTAACGTTGGGTGCTTTTGGACGGGGTTTGGTGGACAATGGGTATGCAATGCAATGCAAACTTCCACACTCTTGAAAAAGAAGGTTCTTCAAGGGTTCTTTAGTAGAGACTGTGGTTCTATGTAGAACCTTGAACACTCAAAGAACCAAAGGGTTCTTTGCATGGTGGAATGGTCCTTTAGATTGGTGGAGAATGCGCTGTACATGGCTCCATACAGAACCTTTTTGAAAGCACCAAGATCGTTCTTCTATTGCGTACAAGTTTGCCATCGTACCAATAGAAGAACGCTTTTTGGTGCTATATAGAACCCTGAACACTCAAAGAACCATTTGCATGCTTAAAGGGTTCTTTGCATGGTGAAAAGTTGTATATGGTTCTATATTGAAGCTTTGTGACCTATATAGCACCAAAAAGTGTTACAAGCTTGGCATGTTAACAATAGCAGAACCCTTTATGATGCTATATAGAACCATTTTCGAAAAGGTTCTATATAGAACCACATACAACACGTTCTCCATCAATCTTAAGAACTGTTTCGCCATGCAAAGAACCTTTTAAGCATGCAAATTCTTTGAGTGTCAATGATTCTATATAGAACCATGGTCTTTCCTAAAGAATCCTTGAAGAACCATCTTTTTTAAGAGTGTGCAAAGGAAATGTGGAACGTTCTGCGCTGTTTGCACTCAGCAGTTTCAGGCTTTTTTATTTTAACCCCTCTCTGATTATTAATTCAGCGATTAATCTTAGGATTGAAAAAAAACCTTATTCATCTGCTATAAATTATCAATTATTATACAATTAGTTCTGATGATGCAATCTGATTGGCTGACTGTTCTCTGCTTTTCTTTTATCGCAATAACCGTATCATCCCACTATGCATTAACGATATCTAGTAACGGACATGGTGTAATTTTTTTTAAGATGAAAATCTAGTGCGCACCAGGTACTATTAGGTGTGCACCAGATACTATGTGGTGTGCACTAGATATTATCAGGTGAGCACAACATGCTATGTGTTGAGCACCTAACACTATCAGCTAACCACCAGATACTATGTGGTGTGCACTAGATACTATCAGTTGAGCACCAGACACTGTGTAGTGTGCACTGGATAACATCAGGTGAGCACCAGATATTATGTGGTGTGCACTAGATGCTATTAGATGAGCACTAGATACTATCAGGTAAGCACCAGGTACTGTGTAGTGTGCACTAGATACAATCAGTTGAGCACCAGATACTATGTGGTGCACACGAGATACTATCAGGTGCAAACCAGATACACACAGTATCTAGTGCGCATCTGATAGTATTGAGTGCACATCACATAGTATCTCGTGCTAACCTGATAGTATCTGGTGCACACCAGGTTTTTACTTAAAAAACATACACCATGTCCTTTCAACGGCTTCGTAAAATGGGAAATGGATACATTTGGTAATATTTGACCTGCAGCCCGTTTGGTCAGATTCTTAGAAAGAGTGTAACAGCAGACGTACATCAAATTCCGAAACCTGACGCTGATCCTAAGCGCTTTTCAGTTGTCACAGAACAACCAAAGTTGAAGAAGCTGAGCTGAACCTGATATTGTGAGTTTTATGGCTCTATCCATAATGGAATATGGTACTACTTTTTTCGCGGAAGGAATTGCTAATTTTAAAGCTATTACTTTTTCTTTATTTTGCAGAACTGATGTTCCAGACTAATAGGTTGTGTGTTATTGCGAATAACATCATGGCTGTGATGATCTACTCTATGTGCCATTACAGTTCACAGCCGTGATGTTATTCGCGATAACTCTCCCGGACTTCTTCTACTGCGGCTTCCCAGACAGACATGGAGAAAATCTCAATTCTAAATTCTGTGTAGTTCAGGAAAAGCTGGTAGAGTTGAAGGGGTTAAAGCTGGTCATTGTTATGGAGGTGTAATCCAATGGCGTTAGATAATTTTGTAATTGCAGTTTAGCGTAAAACGTGTTCGATTCGAGAGGAAATCACCCAACAACTATCCAGGCCCTACACAGTGAAGTACTTAGTGTAAGAATACAGTGCCTGAATTGTGACACAGTGGATTTTAAGCCAGGACACAAACACAGTCTCCATTGCATATATATATATATATATATATATATATATATATATATATATATGCACATATACAGTTGCAGCAGGCACGCAGGCATGCAGCAGCACTAGCAGCAGGCTGGACACCGGGGTGTGCGTACCTTGGGCTTGGGCGGCGGGCTGCTCCTGCTCTTCTCGCTCTGGCCACTGGTGGGCGAGTGCGTGCCGGTTGCCAGGTTGGGCTGAGGCACGGTGCCATGCTTGGCCCCCGGAGACACCTGCATGGCTGCCAACTGAGCCGCATACAGCTGCTACTCAGAGAGAGAGAGAGAGAGAGAGAGAGAGAGGGAGAGAGAGGGGACAGAAACAGAGGGGACAGAGAGTCAAGGGTGGGTGGAGGGGAGGATAAGAAGAGAGAAGAAGAGAGAAAGAGCCATGAATAAATGAATATGCCCGACGCACACGCAGTCACAAAAAGATGCAAGCTAAAAAGCCAGTTTGGCCATTAGCAGAGAGGGCTTGATGGCTGTTTGTGTGCTGGGGGACAGAGCTGTCACTTCTCGTCCCGCCGTCAGGGCCTCAAGGGGCCGCCGCTAACAGCTATCAGCAGCCCTGAGTGAGATGCATTCTGGGAAAATAAAGAAAAAAAACTACTCAACACTCCCCATCAGGGTCACGCTCACTCATGGAAGAAAGAAAAAAAAAAAAACAGCAGCAGCTTTTTCGACAAGGTGAAAAAGTGCTGAATGGAAGGAGAGAAGTTGCGAAGCTCCGAGCTGATGGAGAGAAAACAAACCGTCTCGTCAGAGTCCCATCGGATCTCACGGGGAACGGGACAAAGCGGCGGACGATGAAGGTTGCACAAGCAGTAAACAATAGTTTAGAAGAGAACCGGTGCTTCAGGGAACACAATATCAGCCAAACCCTGAAAACGTGGCAATAAATAAAACTAAATAAGTAAATAAAAGCTGCTTTTTTGGCATTTTTGCGCTGTGAATTCTGATAAAACGTTTTCTGAAGCTTCCCTGACGTCCAGTTCAGCTCTTCATGCACATTTTTGAGCCATTCAGAAAAAAGGGTGTGCTTTTTTCCCCTTCTTTCTCCTTAAATAGCTTTTTTTCTCAGGAAAGATGAGGCACTGGATCTGTGTGCATGAGCAAAAATTAAAAATCGGGGTGCTTTTTTTTTAATTGTGTTTTTCTCTTTAAGATTTGGAAGCGAGTGGCTGTTTGCGAGTAAAACTTCCGTCCTTCTGTTCCTCTCTGGCTGCCAGCCACCAGCAGGAAACAAAGACTGGTTTATGCAAATGGCCATGGCACTCTCTCTCTCTCTCTTTCCTTTCTCCATCTCTCTCTCTCTCCATCAACCCCTTCCACACATTCGCTACACTCTTCTGTCTGCAGTATCTGAGACTTATACGTCTCTATCCAGAAAAACAGACCGTGCTGTACGTATCTATCTGCACTAATACAGACGCACACACACTCACCCTTTTCTTATCAATCTCCTGCTTCTGATAGTCCTTATCTACACATAATACAAAGCTCTACCCACAGGAATGTGGACGTAAACTACTGCCGTATCTCCTGTATCATAAGTAAACACCTTAACATTTGTCACAAAGTATTTCACTGCTGACGGAACAAAAACTCTTATCTCCAAAATGGTAACTTTACAGGAGAAGGAAAAAACTTACTTTACTTTTAATGTAAGTCAATGGAACCAGAATTTTTTCCAAGTCATTTTGGGCCGTTTCCTTTGGTCTGTTTATCATGAAATTTACACACAATGTAAAGGACAACAGGCTTTTTCAAATTATGCCAAAAACCGAAAAATGACAAAAATGGAGATACAAAGTTTTGTTCCGACAACAGCGATATGTCTTCACCGTGTGGCGTGGATGTATTTGTAAAGGTCCATTATGGGTGGGCAATATGACTAGACAGTATCATTATCGAGATAAATTACTGTACGATATGCTTTTCTGAGTATTTGATGTGTTTGGTCAGTGCTTATAGAAGCCAGCATGACTACATGGTTCATAAAAAGACTTTATAGGTCTAGATATGGTTTTATCACCTACATAAACTGTTCATGATTACTGTCAAAAACATTCATAAACACTTTTTCCAACAGGCTCCATCTGTCATTAAGGTCACATGTGCCCACTTTGATGTGAAGTTAAGGTAGTAGCTCTTTTCCTAATACACAGCCCTGCTGGAGCCTTATTAACGTGTGGCGTTGAGATCCTAAAGCGTGGACTTAGTAAGGCTTGGGAATGGGATAATTAAGTCATGGCCACTACTTAGTGTGGCGCTGGAACGAGATCATGCCTTACTAAGTCGTGGCCATGCATTAGGATCTCGTTCCCATGCCTTACTAAGTCATGGACACGATTTAATTATCCTGTTCCCATTTCTTACTAAGTCATGGCCATGACTTAATTATCTCTTACTGAGTGGAGGACACACATTGTTCCCACACCTTACTAAATCGTGGCCACAACTTAATTATCTCTTTCCCATGCCTTACTAAATCGTGGCCATGACTTTATTATCTTGTTCCCATGCTTTACTAAGTCATGGCCCCGCATTAGGATCTCCTTCCCACCCATTACTGAGTCGTGGCCACGACTTCATTATCTTGTTCCCATGCCTTACTAAGTCTCGGCCACAACTTAATTATCTCTTATCCATGCCTTACTAAGTCATGGCCATGACTTAATTATATTGTTCCCATAGCTTACTAAGCAGTGTCCGCGACTTATCACATTCCCATGCCTTACTAAGTCATGGCCATGCATTAGGATCTCATGCGCATGCCCTACTAAATCGTGGCCACAACTTAATTATCTTGTTCCCACACCTTACTAAGTCGTGGCCATGCATTATTTTCATTAATGCAGGATGTCACCAGCGGAGCTCTGCATTCTGACATTAGCTTGTGCTTTAAAACAAACCATAGAAATAACCCAGGCTTTATTAATCCTGTGCTAAACCTGCACTACAGTGCAGTAATAGTGGTAACTGTATAGTAGCAAGAAGCTGATTGGATATCAACATTATGACATCATTATGACTTACTCATTTTTTTTTTCCAATTTTTGTTCTCATAAATGTTAAATGAATAAAAATTGTACTGATATTTTTAATGTTTTGTGTCACTACAGCTTTCGTAATGAATTCTGTTGATTATTTTCCAACCTTGGAAAAAAATAGTCATAAGAATCACATATAGTGAAAATATTGTTTATAAGTATTGTGATGGTACATTTTTTGACACATTGCCCACTTCTAATGCACACACACACACACACACACACACACACACACACACACACACACACACACACACAATGAGGTACCTTTGAGAGTGGTGTGATCAGTAAGTGTGGTGTGTGAGTGTGTGTGTGTGAGTGTGTGTGTGAGTGTGTGTGTGTGTGTGAGTGTGAGCTGGGGGAATAGGCGATAAAATAAAGGTCTTGTTGGTCATTTCTGTTCAATTACCCCCACCACGGCTCCTGGATGTGTGTGCACCCGAGCGTGTCTCAGCTGCCCCCCCACCCCCCTACGAAGATGAACTAAGGGAGTGCGAGTGAGTGTGTGAGTGTGTGTGTGTGTGTGTGATGCAGCCAGTGTCCAGTCCACTGAATCAGACGGCTTTATTTGCTCTCTGAATTGAGCTCTATTACAGGACCGGCTCGAACTGCTAGACTGGCTGAGACAGCGAGTGGTGCACACACACATGTTGGTCTCTCTATACTTGTGAGGACTTCTAGTGAATTCACTATTAGCGAATTATAAAGACCTAACCTTAAACTTAACCCCACAATAATTAAACCCTGATTATAGCCTCTGTAACTAAAACCCTAATCTTAACCTCAGTAACCAAAACTGAACTCTAATCTTATCCTCGGTAACCAAAACCTAATCTAATCTTAACCTCAGTAACCAAAACCTAACCTAAACTTAACCTCAGGAACCAAAACCTAACCTAAACTTAACCTCAGGAACCAAAACTGAACTCTAATCTTATCCTTTATAACCAAAACCTAATCTAACCTTAACCTCAGTAACCAACATCTAACCCTAAGCTTAAGATCAGAACCAAAACCTAATCTAATCTTAACCTCAGGAACCAAAGCCTAATCTAATCTTAACCTCAGGAACCAAAGCCTAATCTAATCTTAACCTCAGGAACCAAAGCCTAATCTAATCTTAACCTCAGGAACCAAAACCTAATCTAATCTTAACCTCAGGAACCAAAGCCTAATCTAATCTTAACCTCAGGAACCAAAGCCTAATCTAATTTTAACCTCAGGAACCAAAACCTAATCTAATCTTAACCTCAGTAACCAAAACCTAATCTAATCTTGACCTCAGGAACCAAAACCAAACTCTAACCTTAACCTCAGTAACCAACATCTAACCATAAACTTAAAATCAGAATCAAAACCTAATCTAATCTTAACCTCAGCAACCAAAACCTAATCTAATCTCTAAAGTGATGGACGAGCAAAAAGGTCATAAAAATGTCATTTTGTCCCGTCATTGAGTATGTTTGTGAGTATGTTTGTGAGTATGTTTGGTCCTTACAGGGGTAGCAAGACAAATACACACACACACGCACACACACACACACACACACACACACACGCACACACACACACACACACATATGCGCACACACTTTGTGCGAGGCTGCCGCTGAACACGCTCAAAGCACTGCCGCCCCATCGTCAGCATGACTAGACAAGAAGTGACAGCACGCCGCCCCTGGGATGACCACAGGCAAACACACACACACACACACACACTGAAAGGTAGTGGGGAGGGTGGGTGATGCTAAGAATCTGATCTCAAGATGGGGGGAACGAAATAAAGGAATTTAAATGTCAGCTGCTAACATTCTCTCTGTGACACACAGACACGCACACACACTCACTCACACTCACTCACACACACACAGACATGGATGGACGCAACTTGAGTGTGAAAGGCAGGTACACAAGTCTGATCAAATCTATTTGCGTGCGTTAAAAAAATCAGCTTTAAATTATTTTATTATTTTTTTTTTTAATTTTACCTGATTTTCTCCCCAATTTAGTCGTCTCCAATTCCACCCACTAGTTAGGACTCCCCCAATCACACGATGCTATCAACGCTAGGAGGGCGAAGGCTAACACAGGCTTCCTCCGAGACCTGTGAAGCCAACCACCGCTTCTTTTCGAACTGCCGCTCACGCAACGTCACTGGACAGCCGAACGCGCTCGGAGGAAAGCGCCAACCGCCAGATCTGTTACGTCAGCTAA